TTTTTTTTTTTTTTTTTTTTTTTTTTTTTTTTTTTTTTTTTTTTTTTTTTTTTGCTTACTTACTTAATCAAACCAGAGGGGAAACCTAGCCAAGAAACCAAGACCCCTACCTAAACCCAACACAAGACTCTCATTCCTTCTGCCCAAAGCCTCTTGGGCACGTGCCATCCCTACCAATTTGGAACACCGGGTTCCCATGAGAATTGCCACAACTTGTTTTAATCCATTGCTTCCCAAGAATTTTCTCCTTTCCATTGGCCAGCCGCAGAATTGGGTCATATGACCAGAGTCAAAGTCCTAAGGGAGGCACCCTCCCCCACTGCACACTCCCTCCCATGCCCACAGGTCCCAGGGCTGCCTGTCACCACCAGGCCAGCCTCGATAACTGAGTGACTTACTTTTACTCCCAACAAGTCCACAGACAGACGGCTAATGAGGCCGTGGCTCAGGCTACAAGTCTCCAGCCCGGCAGAGCCCTCCATACACCAGAGGTCCACATTTCTCTGAACACTGCAAGCTCTCTACGTGTTTCCAGATTACCATGAGGTCACAGGGTATCTACCCCAGAGTTCTGTTCTCCTCCCTCAGCCCAGAAAATTATAATACACGGGCTCTGGGCTCACACCAACTTGCTGCCAGGGGATCACCTGATTGCTAGATGTTAGAACGCTGTACCCTGATGTGGCTTCTTCTGGGGCTGAGAGGGCTATGCCAAGTTCTTCCAGAACCTTCCAGAGACATGCCCTCTGTACTAAAAATCTACTTTGTGTTCATTTTACTAACCACTGAGCAGCTCTCTGCTGACTATAAGACTCAGATTGCTACTTCACTAACCCACCTCTAAAAACGAGAGTCACAAAACGGTTTGGAAGGTTCCGGAGCGATGGCTCAGCAGCTGAAAACACTGGCTGCTCTTGCAAAGGATCCAGGTTCATATCCCAGGACACACATGGTGGCTCGCCACCCAACCATGTGTAACTCCAGTACCAGAGACTCCAGTTTCCTCTTATGGCCTCTAAGGGCACCAGGCATCATGAAGTATACATGCAGGCAAAACATGCAAAAATATAAAATAAAAATAAATCATTTTTTAAAAATTGGTTTGACAGAAATTTGTCCAGTGAAAGTTAAGAATTAATTCTTTCCCATTTTTCATGCACCAAAAACACACAGACGCCACGACCAATCGGCACTTAGGATCAATGTGACCAACCGAGCTAGGGAACTAAGGGGCCGCTACCAGAGCCCGGAGCAAGGAAACTGGATTTTAATTTGCCTCTGCCTTTGCTCGGCTTTTGGAAATATTAATAATTGATAAACATGATACGAGGCAGTGCCTTCAACCTCAGACACCGCAGGTCGGACATCACTGCTGCGGAGCTTAAGGAATAAACGAAGCCCACGGACACGAGTTTGAGAAGCAAGGTGAGCGACGACAGAGACACATCACCCCAAACAGTTAACTAGCCAAGTGGCTCCCAACAATGATGCCACGCTCCTAACATGTACACCAATTAACTTGCTCAGCCCTGAAGGGGGACTACAGTGAGTGTGGACCAGCCCTCTCCGGCGGGCAGGGGGGACATTTAATAAGCATTTGTCAAATAAATGAACGGCGATCTGCATTTTTCTAAGACAATTAATTTTCACAATGCACACTGCCCAGCCGGACTCCTAGTGAAAAATCTCACAGCTATCGCTAAGCCAGGAATTAATCAAAGAAGTGAGCACAGCTGCTATTCCAGGGGGCCGGTGGGACTCCAGGTGATTAGGCTGACAGGGGACAGGGGGGAGCTCACCCTGAAATGCCCCTGCCCCTCCAAGTGCACGTTAATTATTCCCTTCTTTTTCGGAGCATCTCCCCCAAGGAGCCCTTGTTGGCCAGGCCGTGGTTACCACTCTCCCCGGGACCCTATGCCATAACCTGTAAATGCCACACATCCTAGGGCAGAGGTCACTAAGGGCTGCGGTAGGACACTGCGGGTAGTGGGGCAGGACCCGCAGAGAATGTGGCCGAGGAAGAAGGAATCCCTACTCTCTCCCTTCTTGTTCTGTTTGGGTTGGATGGTGCTGGTGCCATAGCAGGGGCTTCGTGCATGCTGGGAAATGGTCTATCGCTGTTCTGTGGTGGCTGACATCCCCAGACCAGGTCGGGCATTGTTGGTGGAAACACCAAAGTGAACAAAGGCACCAGTCAGGTGTGGGGATGTGTTTCCATAATCGCAGTACTCAGGAGGTTGGGCAGGAGGATCATCAACCAGCCAGGGCTACACGAAGAGACTCATTCACAAAAACAAAACAAAACAAAGAGTCAGTGGCACAGAGGCAGAAACTAACCGCAAGAATCTGGCCAAGTACACTTAGCAAGCCAAGCTGTGTGGGTTTCAACGGGCATGCCTGCTGAGTCTGCTCTGATGCACCCAAACCCACATCCACACAATCCCACGACCCACCCAGCAATGCAACCCTCCACCACAAACTCTCTTAGACCATTAAAAAAAGAAAAATAACACGGCTTAGGTCGATTTACCACCCACTACGCATACAAATTACTTCAAAGTCAGAAAAGTGAACTTTCTTTCTACTCACCCCAAATTCATTTCCTTGATGGTGAAGCCTTAAAAATTATATGTTGAGAAATATGTAAGATTTCCCAGGAGAGAGGGTGGCTTGTTCAGAGGACCACTAGAGAAAAATCAGGAAGCAGTGGATTATGGGGATGGGAGGGAGAAAGGGCTGGAGCAGAGGAGATGCTGTAATGGAGAATCCAAGTCCCATGGCGGGTGAGAAACCATCCAGGGGCCAAAACTGGGCTCTCTGTGAGCCAGAAAAGTTCATGGTGTCCCACGTATTCTATAGGACACAAGCTTATGACTGCTAGGGGACCCAGAGAGCTTTCTTCTCTAAGGGATAGTCAAAAGACCCAACCGGGGACTCAGAAATATCTCAGTGCATCGAGCACTTGCTTCAAAAACATGAGGACCTGAGCCTGAACTCCCAGAGCCCACATGAAATCGGGCATCATAGCCACATCTGCGGTCCCAGAATTCCTATGGCAAGATGGGAGAGGGAGGCAGGAGAATAACCTGAAGTTCTCAAGGGCCAGGTCGCCTGAGGTACACAGCTGCAACCAATCACTCAATAGGAAAAGAGAACTTGTCTGGAACAAGGGACAAGACGAGGGCTGACACCTAAACTCGTTCTCTGACAATCCTCCAGGGATAGGGGCGGAGATTGGAAGATCCCTGGCCCAGGCTGGCTAGCCAGTCCAGCCTAATTAATGAGTTCCAGGCCAGTGAGAGATCCTTTCTCTCCCCCCCTTTTTTTTCCTTTAAATATTTTTTATTGATTTTATTGAGCTATATGTTTTCCTCTGCTCCCCTGCCTTCGTCTCCCCTCCCCTTCAACTCTCTCCCATGGTTCCCATGTTCCCAACTTACGAGATCTTGGAGAAACCCTCTCTTGAAGGAGAGGGACAGCACTCCTGGGGATCCTCCAGCCTCCACGTGTGCGTACACACACACACACACACACACACACACACACACACACACACACCTGTACACACATAAACACATTCCTTCCCTTGGGTGACCAACCATCTTGATTTTCCCAGAGTCACTGAGTTGGTACTCAGGTTGCCTGGGTTACAAGAATGAAGGGCAGCTGAGCACTGGGGTTTCAAGAGGGGCTTTCCCATTGCTAGCACTGAAAGAAAAAGAACCCATCCTAACCATCGGGACTTGAGGGTCAGGTTCACTCCTTGCCACCCAACATGTGATGTGATGTGACATTTGCACACCCAGCACAGACCCCTTGCCAGGGGACTAGTAAAGATGCAGAATGTCCGGCTTTGAGTATATGACTCCA